ATTTTAACGAATAAAAAAAAAAAAAAAAATTCTGGTCGCCAATCAGTAGGCGATTGCGGCCGAATTCGTATAGGCCGACCGGCGATTGTGGCTCGATATTGTTGGGATAGTTGTTAATTGCGGCCTACTCCATTTTGGCCGCAATTAACAATTGCGGCCTTTGTGATCTGGGCCGCGATTTACGGCGGCCTTTGTTCTTCGAGTCGCGCTTTGCGGCCGGCCTTCGGCCGATTTTTTTTTTCGTTTTTTTTAATTAAAAATATTTTTAAAAGTAATTAAGAGAGTTAATAATAAATTTATTTTCAATAATACTTAAATATGAATATTCAATAATAAAATTTAATAAAGAAATTAAATATTAATATTTCTAAGAATATTAAATATTAAATATTTTGTAATTGTACTTAAATATGAATATTAAATATTAATATTTATAACTAATATATATTAAAAATTATATTGATAATTATACTAATTATGATACTAAGTATTATATTAGTATAAATTAATTAGTATTCAGGATAATTAAAAATTCTATTTATACTACTATATTAGTATTTAGGATAATTATTAGCACAATTATACTTATAATTATACTAATTACTATATTATTATAATATTAGTATTTAGGATTTATATTATTATAAAATAATAGTATAAAATTAAATTAATTATATTATAAAAAATTTTATTAGCATTAAATATTAAGTTATAATTAGAATGAATTTCTTATAAAACTTAATTTATATTATTAAAAATTATGTTATTAACTTATTAACATATATGCTAAGCAGGGGTCAATCGAAGATTTTGGAGGAGACGGTGTTGATTACGGATGTTGTTTCGCTACAAGTGACCTATTTGATAGTTGTGACGAAGCTGTGAAATGGGCAAAAAACATTGCAATAATATAAGGTTTCCAGTTGGTCATCTCGAGAAATTTAGATAACGGAGGAAAAGAGTTGAGGTGTCATCGAGGGGAACGTTACAGAGGTACTGCAGGAAAAGTAGAAAATTTCGTTAAGGCTGTTATGAGAAAATCGAAAACAAAAGCCACCGGCTGGCCTTTTATGATAAACGTCAAACGTGATGCAACATCCAAAAAATTTTGTATCTCGTTTCCTTTAGATGACGAGAAGAGGACGCATAATCATGCGTTTGCTGTGAATCCCGAGGGTCAGCGACAGATGAGTGGACTCAGTGATCCATCCAGAGAGATTGTCCGTGATGAGTTCTGCTCAGGCAACACCGGCATCAATTCTGGCTGCAATTCAGGAGAAACACCCTGTGGACAACGCGACTATCCGACAAGTGTATAATCATAGAGCTAAATTGCAGAAAGAAAGTTTGGAGGGTAGAGATGTGGCTGGGCAGCTTCTGCATTTGGCTACGGTCAGCAACTACACAGTTTATACTGACGTTAACCCGAACACACAGGCGTTGACACATGTCTTTATGTCGCATCCACAAGCAACCAGTCTATTCCGGACATATTACTGGTATGTCGATATAGAGTCCACGTACAAAACCAATAGGTATGTTACGTTACTTTATAATGATTGTGAATCTTATTTTAATTATTATGTTCGATTGAGTAAGTTCTTTTATTTATTGTATGTTTTATCTTCTTGTTACAGGAATCATATGCCGTTGGTGGAGATGGTTGGGATGACATCGTGCCATAGGAACTTCTTAATTGCCTATGCAATTATGAAGGACGAGAGCGCGTCCAGCTATGACTGGGTCCTACAGCGGTTGACACTTCTTCTAGAGCCAACTAAAAATCCTTCAGTCATTGTCACTGACAGGGAGTCGGGGTTGATTACTCCTATCCACATGAATTTTCCACAGTCGGCCCACCTACTATGCACATGACACATCAACAAAGATGTAGAAGACAATGTGTATAGACTAACATAAAAAAATAAGGTCTTCGCAGTGAAGTTCATGCACGACAAGTGGAAGAAGGTCGTCGAGGCGAGCACGTTGGATGCATAAGAATATGCCTTAGCTGATATGAATGCTACATACGCGAAATTTCCTCGTGTGCTAGAATATGTGAAGAAGACATGGTTAGTCCATAAGGAGAAATTTTTCAGAGCGTGGACGAACTCTTTGTTACATTTTGGCAACACGACAACGTGTAGGGTGGAGAGTGCCTATGCTACGTTGAAGAGGTGGCTGCACACGTCGACCGATTTGCTCGACACGGTGTGGAAGAAGATTGACAAGGAAATTGAGTCTCAAATGACTCAAGTCAGGTATATTCCTTAATTTATACATATTTAATGTGTTATTAATGCATTCATTATATAATATGTTTTATTTAGGCCTAATGTTATGTAATGTATTACCAGGGAAACGCTGGAGTCTTCGAGACATAGGATGCATACGGGTTACCGTGGATTTCCATTCGCGCAGTTGAGATTGCGGGTTTCGCATTATTGTTTGGATCTATTGAATGATGAGTCTCAGAGGATGCGAGACTTTGGCGAAGATGTTTTAGATCGCTGATGATGTGTACTGAGTTACACTCATGGGCTTCTTTGTGCCTGTCAGCTAAATGGGACATATACTACGAGTATGGAAATTACGCCCGACATGATTCACGAGTTCTGTAGCACACTAGTGGTGAAGGAGCCAGGTATAATTGTGATGTTGATTGTGTTGTTTAATTTTTTCACGTATTCTTTTCATTTATATAATTAATTATATAGTGTGTTGTTTAATTTTTTAAATTTTTTGAACGGACAGGTCACCAGAGTGCATCGGGAAGTGGATGGACAGATCGTGATAATTTTCGGAGGCTTGTATTAGAGGTTGAAGAGGCCGATCCTGCAACGTTGAGGTACGATACTCAGTTCATGGACTCTACACGTCACCCCGACCAACAAGGTTACACAAAACCTCCAGTGATGGAAAATCCGAGAGGTCGGCCCAAGAAGCCCAATTCAACAAAGCGCGATCCATCCAAATGGGAGTACAATCAAAGAGGCCGCCGTAAAAGCACTTCTTCCTATGATGAATCGCAGTTGGAGTACATGGATACAGAACGCCGGGTTGGGCGTAAGAGCACTTCTTCGTGTGGTCCATTGATCTGGGAGTACAGGGAAAGAGGTCGTCCAGTGGGGCGTAAGAGCACGTCTTCGTGTGCACCGACAAGTTCGTCTTCTCAACCTTCTGATGATCCGACAGATGATTTTTATTTTTTTTTGTTTATCTGAACGATAACTAATCATGTTTGTAAATTCGATTATTTAAATTCTGACGTGAAATTATTCTGATATTACAGAGACTTTCTCGACGCCCTTCTTTGTATATCGGCATTTTGACAGAATTCCCTACTTAGTGCATCCTTACGTACAGAGCTATCTGGATGTGATGCCGGATGGGAATTGCAGATTTCGGGTGGTGGCGAGTTACGTGTATAGGGATCAGAATATGTGGCGTTACGTCAGAAACAACATGGTAAATGAGATTTTAGCAAGCAGGCAACGATACGATCCTATGTATTACTATGCCCTCGACGCTGCAGTCAATCGGATAAGATGGGAAGGGGGTGGTTGTGGGGAGGAGCATTGGATGGAAGGTTTAGGCGACCTCTTTGTAATTGCTATATTTTTTAATGCAGTTGTCGTGTTGTTAGGCAAGGGTGAGACAAATGACAATATCGACTAGAATAGTTTGACATTCTTGCCGCTGCACGCACCATCCACCGCTACGGGACCTGAACGCGAGATCGTGATAGGTCATCTTGGTTCTTACAAACACTACATTCGTCTGAATTTGTCATCTGATTCGCCATTACCCCCTATATGTTCAGCCTGGGATAGATACCGAGATGGGACGGTCGCAGAATATGCTAATTTGTACTAGAGGAGGATCAAGTTGTGGCGTCTTATTCGTAGTACAATTGGATCGTGATATAGTATAATATCTGACTTATGTATTATAGGTGATATAGTGTGATATTTAGTCGTGTTTATCGTGGATTGTGCACCATTTTCTTTTATTTATTTATTTATTTATTTATCTATGATATTAGAGGTACCTTTTTATCGTGTTATTTATCGTGGATTGTTATATTTATCGTGGATTGTGATATTTATCGTGTTTATCGTGGATTGTGCACCATTGTTCACACGACTCGTATGACCCGGTCGTGTGTGGGGTCGTGTGAGATTGAAAGTCGGTCGAAAATTCGAGGAAAGTAACACGAGTCGTGTGAAGCGCATACAAATAAGATTCAAATGAACTAACAACAAATAAGAAAATAAAAAACAAA